ATTCCTATTCCTATTCCTATTCCTATTCCTATTCCTATTCCTATTCCTATTCCTATTCCTATTCCTATTCCTATTCGTATTCCTATTCCTATTCGTATTCCTATTCCTATTCGTATTCGTGTTGTGTATCGTTGTGAAACAGCGGGAGTAGATAGATGGGCGACCAGTCATAGCTATCTGCTCCTATAGCTGGTGCTAGGTGCTGATTAACACCCAACTACAGAAAGAGAATCATAAATAAGTAGAAATAAGGAGAAAAAAAGAGATGGTCCACAGGACCATCTAGTTTCTAATTTAGATGGTCCTCCTAAATTTTAAATTGTTCTCTAAAAGTAATGCGGCGTGCAAGCGTAAGAAAGAGATTTTACATGGTGATAAAATCGAAATTATTCACCTACAATGAATGTATCAAACGATACGGTAATTGTTTTTTTCACTTTAATAGTATATTGGTTAATAAAGTTGTTTCAGTCGAATTTAGTTGAACCCATAACGGTCCGGTCCGTGGGACCATTGACTTTGAAAATCTGATGGTCCTCCTGATTATTTGATGGCCCCGGACCATCGGACCATCGCTTATTTCGACCCCTGCAACTAAGCTCCCCAACTGCCCGTTAGTTTCTAAGTAGGGTCATATAACTACCAGTTCTATTCACCCTCTAAATTGCCTCGCATTGTCACGCGATATTTAAAGGAAGAGAGCACCGAAGTGGCGCTCGTCAATACGTTAGCTCCTCGTTGTGAAACAGCGGGGGGGAGTAGCGAGGTTTGGGATCACTGATCAGATTATACGACCTACTTTATATTGTCAAATTGGCGAGTTGGACCGATTTCGCGATTCGACAACACCGAGTTGGCGAAAATAGAACAAACTAATCTCACAACTAGTTGCTATTGACCAGTTGCTCGCGCGATTGTCGGTTGTATAGTTGCGAAATTGGTGCAATTCGCCAATTTGACAACATAAAGTCGGTAGTGTAAACCCAGCCGCCTGCAGCAGATACCGTTCCCTCTCTAATCCCCCGCTGTTTCACGACGAGTATAGCTAACGTATTGACGAGCGCCACGTCAGTGTTCCGTTCCTTGAAATCTCGCGTGACAATGCGAGGCAATTTAGAGGGTGAATAGAGCTGGTAGTTACATGACCCTAATTAGAAACTAACGGGCAGTTGGGGACCATTAATGAGCACCTAGTTGGCTCTTTATTACGTGGGTTGCGGCGGGTTTAGTGCAGAGCGGAGAGAGAGAGAGAGAGAGACAGAAAGAGAGCAGGGAGGTAAGATAGAGCGCGGAGAGAGAGAACATAGAGACGAGAGAGCGGCGGCGAGAGGAGACAGAAAGAGAATGAGCGAGGATGGAGCGCCTGCGGGAGAGAGAACACAGATGCAGAGAGCAGAGAGATGACCTATGCCGAGATGTACGATCGGACGAGAGATAAGAGAGAGAGAAAGCAGAGGAGAGAGAGATAGAGAGAAGAGAGAGAGAGAGCAGAGATGCAGAGCGAGCAGCGATGAGAGTCGAGAGAGCCGAAGACGATGAGCGAGAGCGTTCAGGCGATTGAGAGAGAGAGAGATTGAGAGATGAGAGATGCAGAGGAGCAGAGAGAAGAGAGAGGAGAGACTGAGAGACTACCGGTAGAGAGAGACGACGAGAGAGAAGAGAGAGAGAGAGAGGGAGGGAGAGATAGAGGAGCTGAGAGAGAAAGAGATTGATGTAGAGAAACAGGGCCGAGAAACATAAGATGAGAGAGATGAGCGCGCTGCTGAGAATAGCAGACAAAAAGAAGATGAGTCGGCGTCGGCGATAGAGCGCGGAGAGAGAAACAGGGAGGAGCGGGAGCGAGAGAAAGAAGAGAGAGCAGCGAGAGAGAGAGGAGAGAGAGCAGAGTAGAGACGAGAGATGCAGAGATGGCTTACGAGCGATCCAGAGGAGAGAGATGAGGATGAGAGCAGAGAGAGAAGAAAGAGGATGAGAGCAGAGATGAAGAAAGTGGAGAGCCAAAACAGAAGCGGATGCGAGGTTTAGCGCAGGTTGAACGCTTCAGAATTGGTTTAGCGCGCGAGTGGGGTGGGGGCGAATTTAGAGCAAGCTTAGAGGGAAGAAGCAGAGAAAGGAATAGAATAGATGCCTAACGAACGTTAGACAACACCATACTGCTGTCGGAGAAAACGGTAGCCTTCAAGGAACGATACAGTGGAAAGTTTTCGCCTGGCGTGCCATACTTAATAAATAATATGTTTGCTGTCTCCGACCGACCCACGAAAATTAGCCGCGACCCAAAAGTTTTTATGACTTTTGTGGATCCATATTATTTTTTATTTTATTTTTTTAAACATTTTTTCATAGTTAAACTGAAACACAAAGCATGTGCTGCAAACATGAGGAAGACTTAAAATTAACTATTATGCTCACACACAAAAATGACCTACCTTACCTACCCTACTAAAAAAATCATGGCGTCGGGGCGTACAGCAGACATAGAATTTTCTTAAAGGCCATGGGCCCGGCGTTTCAGCCTTAGGCATGTTATGTTACACGTCGCCATTAACCATCAGCCTCCACAGGACAGGCGTGCTTGCACTTGCCCAG